GTCGCGCAGGCCGGGAGCTCACGCGCAGGCCGGGAGCTCACGCGCACGCCGCCGGGTGATCGCAGACAGGCAGGTCTTTTTTGTTTTTTTTTTTGAGACAGGGTCTTACTGTATAGTTGAAACTGACCTGGAACTCACTATTTGGTCCAGGCTGGTCTCGAACTCACAGCAATCCTCCTGCCTTAGCCTCCCAAGTGCTGGGATTACAGGCATGTGCCACCACGCCCGGCCACATTTTTCTATAGATTGCTGTCCTAGTGAGGCAGGCAGTGCAGACATTGGACTGACTTAGGGTTTCTCTCTTCTGAAGGGAAAAGTAATTTCAATACAATGGAAATTATAGCTTTAATCAAATTACATGCTTCCTAGGGATTTTAAGTGATTCATATTCCAGAAGTTCTCATTCTTATAATTTTAAGGAAAAAAAAAAAAGGATGTGCTCCCTTCGGTAGCACATATAATTAGAAAAAAAGGGGAAAAATGATGTGATCTCAAATTAGAATTCAAGTGAGAGTAAAACCTGATTGTCAACCAAGTAGATTTGATATGAAGCCTTGTGTATACAATTTTACAGCCATTATAATGACAGAAAAAATTGTAATATTTTTCTTGTATCATTTTACTGGGCACACTAGTTACAGAAAGATTTGATAAGTGATTGTTAAGTGCAATATCTGATCTTGATTAAGGAGGGGTCAGGAAGTGACACTAATACTTACAGTAGGCTTTTTATTGCCATCTCCCAGTGTGCATCCTGCTAGGCAAGGCGACAAGTAAGTCATTCCATTTTTCCCACAGATTGGCTCCCACTCATTTTCATCACAATTGCAATCTGAGTTGCAGTAAGACAGTGGTTCATTTGCATGAGACGCCAGTGGATTAATTCTGGAAATATATGAAAGACATGGGTCAAAGAAAGAAAGAGTAAGAGAGGTGATTTCGAAGTAGTTCTGCAAATATGCGATAGATATATCAAAAATAAAGGAAGAAAGAAGTGAAAGAGAAGTCAGGCAGTAGGGAGAGGAGAAGAGAGAAAGAAAAAAGGGAAGAAAAAAAGAAGAGAAGTGAAAAATAGGAGAGATATTAGGGACAGTTTTCTTTTAGAGAAATTTAATGTACTGTTGTTGCCAACTGGCAAAGTGCTTAATGTTTATTCACTTCACACCTTCCATCTTTATCACAGCAAGAATAGAAAAAGTTAAACTTATAACAGCAAACTAGGGAGGGTTCACAAGTCTTAGACAAGAGAGCTTAGTAACTCAATAAGGAAATTCACAGCAGTTCAGGAACTTCCTTTTTCTGAAGATCACTTTTTCTTATGTTAGGTAGCGGTAGCAGACTGACATTCCTCCAAGCTTACTGCAAAGTTATGTCTTTCTATGAATGTTATTTAAATAGGCTGAATTCTAAAATGTCTATTTTACTTACATAAGAGAAGAATTCAACATGATTCAATCTGTCTCCAAGGACCAATTTTGATAAAGGATAAGAATCAATTGAGAAAGACAAGAAAAGCTCCATATACTTTAAAAATGAAACAACTTGGGCTAGGGGTTTAGCTCAGTGGTTCCGCTGCCTGCCTTGCAAGCACAAGGAGCCGAATTTGATACCCGGTACAAAAAAAACAAAACAAAAAAACACTTTATGTTTCATAAGGCTTTACTTTATAACATTATTCACTTAGAAATTATAACATGTTCATTATAAAAATTGTGTTATATGGCTACACTTTCAAAATATATAATATATAATTAATTGTTTGACTATCAATTTTAGAAATTATTCTTTTGTTTTTATAAAAACCTTGATAATAATTGAGGATATTCACTTTTGGAGACAACAAGTAAAATGTTATTGAAAAGTACCATAGAATTCTTGACATCGCCTTTTATTTTTTCATTAATGTGGTGCTGGGGAAGAGAGCTTCAAAGAGCTTCACACTGAGCTATATCCCCAGCCCCTTTTATTTATTTTATTATTTTTTAAAAATTTGAGACAGACTCTCATTAAGTTGTTAACTTGCCCAGGATTGGCTTTAACTTGTTACCCTCTCGTGTAAGCTTTCCAGAGTGCTGGAATTACAAGGATGCACCATCAATTTTCTGAATACACGGTGAAGTTATTATTCAGTCCTGTGCTATATAACAATGTTTCTGTTAATTATGCATCACTTATATAATGGTGGTTTGGTAAGATTATATCACCTAGTGTCATTGTTGCTCAGTCCCAGTGAGTACTCCCTATGGTGTTTACGCAATGATGAAACAATATACTTGTACGAACTTATCTCCATAATTAAATGATACACGGCTGTCACATGACTTGCTTTCAGAGCACCGGCTATAGGCTAAAGCCTGCCCTCATAATCAGGGAGAAGCAGTGCATAGATGTGTGACTTAAAACAATAACTTTTCCTAGGTCTCAACTAATGAAGGAAGGTTGGCTGTGTGATCCTTAAGGTGGTTTCTCCTCTAAAATTTACAGTTCTGATGTCCTGCATGTATTTTGTCTTACTAAAGAGATGACGATGGATGGAAACCAACAATTCTGAGGCTTAGGAGCAAGCAGGAAGGTATATCAGGATTAGCTGGTCATGCCTGGAAGAATGGGATGTTTACATAAGAAAATAGGGGAAGACTTGACAGAGTTAAAGTTTACACCTCAGGGGATCCAGAGTTTGAAAACTCAGAGCCAACAGTAGGTAGCAGTAACACACGTGGTTACTGAACTGTGATCCCAGGATCTTTGCTTATTGCCTGCATGTGAACCTTTCTAATCAAGTTGTTTGCTGCATCCCATAAGTCTGCGCAGGAGTCTGGCCTTTGATTTGGGGTAGACAGAAGTACTAGGAATACTTGGCATTAGGTGATGTTAACAGAGAGTTAAAGGTTCTAACCTGCACTTATATATAGGATATTATACTTATTATGCTTATTCTCACAATGAAGACAGTGCAGAAGAAACAATATTAGTTTACAAGATATGAATGTAGTACAATGTAAGCAAATGTTCTCTTATAAAGACAGTTACTAAATATTATAGTGAACTGTACAGAAATGTTATTCAGTCACATTTGGAGAATGCTATTTACATTATTACATGCAAGATCCATCCACGATTATAGAGTTAAGATGAAGAGATTTTCTGTTAAATATCCCAAAATAGAGAGATCATGTTAAGGGACTACTAGCCATATAATCTGTATATCACTTTAATCCTTATTTCTCACATCTATAAAATGGAGAAAAAGTAGGCATCATTCATTATAGGCACCTTAGAAATGATACTTATTATTTTTGCAATCTGTTCTTTCTTTAAGGAAGAAATTTTAAAAAGAGCTTTTTGAGGTTCCAAGAAATGGACACTTTAAGAATTTGTAAATTGAAATTTCTCTCAACTAAAAGAAAGTTTAATTAAAATTGTTTTCTCTTCTGTTTTTCCAGTCTTTTCATGGTTAATATACTATGTAATTGATACAATGATATATACAAACCCATCATAGGCCAAAGTCAAGCCGGCAATTGACTTGCGATCACAGAGTAAAGCAAAATATAACAGTTGGCATATTAAACCCATGAATGCAGTAAAACATGAAAATTTGGCAATTCCAACCAAGGTCAATTTGAGCTTTTTAATAAGATATCCTCCTAAAACCATTCCAATTGTCATACAAGGTATGGTGATAAGTCCTAGAAATAAAAAAGAGAGAAAATTATAATATGTAAATATAATTTTTCTGATGTATCTTTACATATGGAACACAACATATATCTACCCAATATATCCAGTCGTATTACTGAGGGACAAGGTGGTAGGCCAAAATGGGAATAGAAGACCAGTGAGGCATATGGGAGAGTTAAAAATGATTTCCTTCCACAAAGCTAGGTGTGGTGCACAGGCCTGCAATCCCAGCACTCAAGAGGCTTAGATGGAAGGATTGCCACAAGTTCAAGGCCATCCTGGGCTACATAGTGAGTTCAAGGCTGGGCTGGAATACATAGCAAGACCCTGTTTAAAAAATAGTTTTTCCTACAAAGGTGAGGGTTTGATTTTCTCAACAGGAAAAGGCAATGACAGAAAAGTTGTGTCTAAATAGATTATTTCTTTGAAGGACATGTTCCTGGTAAATAACAACACACCAAGTTTCTCCATATAAGACTTTGACAGTATGATCTAAAATCCTTTACAGTTTTCAAAATGAAGAGCTCTGGCCTTCAAAACCCACTCCAAATTTGCTCAGTGCATAAGAGTTGAAAACTTAAATTAATATCTGTTTCTTACTCATCAATACAGATGACTAACTTGGTTTGTATTCTGCATTTAAAAAGATTGAATTCCCATATAAGTTTTCTATTTTCTTTTCCTGAAAGAGTTACTAAAGAGGAAGATTCATCTAATGATAATAATAATAATAATAATAATAAATAATAATAAAAATAAAATGCTGGGTTAGCTGTTAAACGTAACCTTTACAGTTTAACTATTTTTTTTATTAAGTTCAACAATGCCATCACTTAGAATTCTGATACAGTGGTTTAGGAACTTCATTTTCAAATTATTTCTTTCTTTTTCATTTATGATCTAGCCAAATGCCACTTGATAATTTTTTAATTCATCAAATATTTATTATCTACAATAATCCCTCAATATCAGAGTTGTAATGGTAATGACGTAAGAAAATTTTTCCTTAATAAGCAGGTCTCAGAGTGATAGAGGGAAGGGCAGAAAAGGGGTGAAAAAAGATTTAAGTTGTGTTATATGTGTGTGCCAACTTCCCATGATGCATATACTCTTTACATACTGAAAACACACATTAATAAAAGTTAAAAAATAAATTCTTTTTAAATCAAGCCGGTCTCCATGTGCCAATGGAACTATGTATTTTAGCATAACTAGGCTTTATTTTATGACATTTGTCTTGAATGAGTCATATTTTAATGGTGTATTTAAATTGTTTCTTCTTATAGAAACAGCAGTGTCTCATCTTTTTTTGTTAAGAAGCTGTTAAGAATCTTAATTTTGGGCCGGGGATTTGGCTCTGTGGCTCCACTGCCTGCCTCACAGATGCAAGGACCCGAGTTTGATTATCGTACCCCCGCAAAAAAAAGAATCTTAATTTTAAACTGGGTGTGGTGGTGCACGCATGTAATCCCAGCACTTGGGAGGTTGAGGAAGGAGGATCACTGTGAGTTCGAGACCTGCCTGGAGTACATAGTGAGTTCCAGGTCAGTCTCAACTACATAGGAGACCCTGTTTCAAAATAAATAAATAAATAAATAAATAAATAAATAAATAAATAAATAAATAAATAAATAAAATAATCTTAATTTTAAACTATATAAATTATAGAATTATAATGTTAACATTACAAAACAATTCGTCTTAGGGTCTCAGCACTAAATTTTAAGATCTAATTATGCAAATACTGTGTGTGAATGTCTCGCTCAATATCCACCTCTTCTTTTAGGAAATTCTATACTATGAGATGAAACTTCAAATGAATAATAACAGTGTTGCAAGCTTGACAAATTTGAGAAAGACAAAGGGGAAATTATCTAATAAAACATAAAATCACATTTACAGTAAGATATCATTTGGAACACATCGATTAGGTAGCATACGACTTTTCAAGCAAACAGGTGAAGAATACGTCTTACCTAACAAAAAGTTGCCTTGAGATATCGACTGACCATACTGTTGCTCTATGTATTTGAAGACGTAAGTGAAGCCACCAATAACGCTACTGAGATATATCACGGTTGAAACCACAAACAAAATATACAGGTGATTCGTAAGGAGGCTTTTCATGGACTGTAAAAAATCTTAAAATTACAAAAATAATTAGATTATTAGGATGTGATATAAATATATATTAAAATTGCAATCTTGTGTTAAAAGATTTTAAGTTACACAAACACATAACGCAGAAAGTGAAAGCAAATTCTACTGACAAATTTTTGAAATATATTCCTTCACTGTTTTCCATACATATTCTAATATTTATTTGTTTAGTTGATTTTACCACAAAATGAAATCTTGAACATGTGCTGTTTTATAATGTGCTTGTTCACTTAATATTTGGTTATTTGTGATCCACCACAAGCTTCATAATTATTAATTAATTTATTCATTCAATAAGTAGTTGGCATTCAGTTGGGTATGACATAATATTGCTAATTGTTCAAAAACAAAAGTGAAATTGAGGGCTGGGGATTTAGCTCAGTGGTTCTGCCGCCTGTCTAGCAAGCTCAGGGACCCAAGTTCAATCCCCGGTACAAAAAAAAAAAGTGAATTTGATATGCTATGTCTCATTTATTAGTATTCAGTAGTGATTGTTATATTACTAATATAATGATGAAATAGAAATTTAAATTAGAACCAATCTTAAATTCACAGAAATAAAAGCACTAAGGTTCACATTTTCATAGAACTGTTTATTTTGACAATTCAAACATTCTGTTACCTGGTATACAGTTTCTGTACCCCCAATAAATCTTGCAGTAGTATAAATCATTTCTCTTAAGATGCAACAAGGAGCAATCATAGACAATGTGGTTATGTCTTAAGTGACAATTATGACAAGAATAATACAACAACCTATGAACAGATGTGTGACAAGTCATAACTTAAGTCCACTGCATAATGTGATCTGACTTTATGATAACCAGGTCAAGTAGCTGTAAGAGAAGCTGAAAGTAGAAGAAACTATATAGAAAAGTAGGAGAAAGTATCAGAAATAAACAAGACAAAACCAGATATGAATATCAGCATTGAAAGATTTTTGCTCCTTACATTTTTAAAGATTTCTATTTGATATGGTAAAAAGTAACACTTTCTTCTAATATATATTATATATTAATTATATATTATATATTTTGTAAAGCAATTTTTCAATATAATGGCCAAGAAAAACTATCTTATTCCAGTTACCTCCAGGGATATATGTCCTCAGTTCCTGCATATCCCATGTTTCCACTTGAAAATTGTTACATTTAACCTGACCATGGTTATTCAGAGAGTTAATTACAGTTGTCTCCATATTTTCAGAATCAAGTAAATTCTGGGAAAATCGAGGCCATATTCTATCGCACGGGTATACTGTGGTGCCTGGTACCACTTGTCGAACGAATGAATGAAATATGAGAGTTTACGTAACTCAATATTCCATATTATATAATTTTGCAATAATACATACCCTTTGGCTTGTAGAGAACAAGTGTTTTTGTTTTCTTGTTTTTTAGCATGTGATTGTTTTCTCCATGCTAAAGATCATATTTCCGATCCTATTCAGTTTATTTTATGTTCAAGCAAATATTTACTAATTTTAATAGGAATTTGAGAAAAATAATCCAGCTACATTTAGTGCCCAAGGAAGTCAACTCTAGATGATTTCAAGGTGAGTTATTATTTCGGAGTAGTCACTCTTCCTTTCCATTAGGATTAACTACACATTGACTATGAATTGAAAATACTTACCACTCATACTTAGAGTAACAGGTTTCTCATGATCGGTCAAATTAGCTGTTTGATTTTTTTCTTCATCTGTTTTGAGTCCATGTGAAAATGCGGAAACTTTCCTTTCGTTCTGCGGTTCATTCAGACTTTTAGGTAGGAAAAAGAATGGGATGGAACAAATAATAGATAGTAGTCCACACATAAGGAATCCAAGCCACCAGGCACCAACCCAGCGAGAGTCCCGGGGAGTTATTCTGACACTGCCTAGAGTAAATAAGTAGAAAAGCCAGTCAAAAGTCACTCTGAAATATAATAAGTATCGGACACATTGGTAATGACTATTGTCTTCCATCAACAAACATAACAAACTATTTCATCCATCTAAAGATAGTTTATTCTTTTCCTATTTTGTCATCTTAAAAATTGGTTTAAATGAGCATTTGTTATCGTTATTGTTTAGGAATAAGTCTTAACACTGCTGCCAGAGATGGAGCTTGTGTAAACTCGGTGGCTTTTCCAATGACATGGCTGAAGATCTGCTGGTATTGGACCTTGAAGCCTGAAAACGACTTTCAAAACATGGAAAGTGTTTGAAGCCTCATCGTTATGTGAGCACATTTATCAGTGCAATCTGCCGAGGCCAAGAAAGTACCAGCAACAAAATTTAAAGCAATTTGAATGAATATTCTCAGAGCCAGTAGAATATATTCTCAGAGCCACAGTAGTAGCTACCCTAGAAACAGGTGTTTTCAACTCCCTTGACAGCACAAAGGATGAAAATGGCAAAAAATATACACAGTGTAAATCTGTATTTAAAAGTAACCCAGAAAAGTGAGACTCTAAATAATAGAAATACTTTAGCCATTTTATTTTAACTGTATTTTCATTGAAGGTATGTGTAAGAATGTTATGTTAGTGCTACATGTCAAGAACTAATGAGTTCCTGCAGCAAGTGTAAAATCTCAGTGTTACAAAGAAAGAATATGTGAAAGAGTAGCAAGATGGCAGGAAAGAAATCTATGGACCCTCCTTCTTCTAATGAACACATCTGATTCAACAGCAAAACACAGATTATTTCCATTTTTGACAAATCCAGAAACTAATTGAAAGTTACTGCTATCACCAGCAAGTACAAAACCAGCCCCATTAAAACCGGTATAAAGTGGAAAACCTCAGCATAGTGTCCTATGACCAGGAAGAACAAGTAATCTGAACTTGTGTGTAGACATTTGCTACAGGTTTTCCCTTTGGCCAACACAGGGTGAACCGGGAGGGGGAAAGCTGGAATGCACATTAAATGTTTCTACTTGTCCAAGTGCTACCAAGGGGCTGACTTCCATCTTACCCATCTCAGAGTGCTGACAGGACCCAACAAATAGGCTCAGGCTCTAGCCTACAAAGAATAAATGTGGCAGTTCAAAGTAGTGTCTGACTACTCATCAAAACTCTTGCCTCATGGGTTAGTGCAGAATGAGCAGGCAAACAAAACAAAACAAACAAACAAACAAAAAAAAAAACCAAAAAAACAAATCCAACTTCTAGTTTCTCCCCTGCAGAATTGTGGGTGGTCATGTCCCAACAGTAAGGGGTTTTAGGGATCTCATTTGCAAAGGAAGAGGGGGAAGAGGTAGAGGAATAGCTCACTTCAAATGAGATTAGGGACATATGTAAAATGTGGGAAACTGCACATTTTGTAAGAAATCGCCATTCAGGTCTGTAGCAGTGCAAGTGATGAATCTGTTTAAAAACAATTCAATGTCATGTTACTGTGAAATCTTCAAAAGAAAGCAAAAGCAAGTGTCATTGGATAGGCTCCTTGTCAAAGTTGCACAAAAACAACAACAACAAAAAAATGCCCTTGAGCCAATAGACAGCAGTGATTTCATTAGTGACAGTGAAAGTCTTCCTATATAGTGACCCTACTCCCTGTTGTCTGCTTTACACCAGCTGAGAAAGTTTTCAAAGGTAAGTGCCGGTTAATTTGTTTTTCTTTATATTTTGTATTATATTATAGTATTTTCATCATTTTATATGAATATTTTTGGATTGTGGAATGAATCATCTGAGTGTCTATTATTTCTTATGGGGAACTTTGATTTCATACCCAAGCACAAGCATGTATCTGGGTTGAATTATGCTTTCAAACCGAGGTTTTTCAAGACAAACAGGTTAAAAATGGCAGGTTAGAAGATATTCAATGCAAGTACTAACCAGAAAGAATGGTGGTAGAGAGGTATCAATCACATAAAATAAAATTTAAGTCAAAAACTGTCTCAAGAGGCAAAGAAAAATATTTTCCAATGGTACAGGGCATGACTTCGCCAACATTTGAGCATGGTATTATTTATGTGTGTAACTTTTCGCTGATTTGTCCTACAGCACTTATTATTTCCAGGAGCAGAACAAGTGATCAAAATCATCTCAGTAGAGTCCCTCAAAATATTTCAGCTGTGAGTCAATTCTGCAAACTCTCAGCACTTTAGCAAAGCAAACTGTAGGTTCTGCGCTTCAACATCCAAACTATCATGCACTAAAAAATGAAATTTACCTGGTCATTTCTAAGGAAGGACCCTGTTGTTTGTTTGAATCAAATAACCTAAAACAAGATTGCTACACTTGTCTTCTATTTAGTTGTAAAAGTGTGGCACTTTAGGACCCAAGTTGCATTTTTATTGGAATTATGAATGTACTTTTTCCAACTTGTAACTTTTGAAAAATGGTAAGCAAAGGACTATATTAGAAAAACGAATTCAACTGCTTGGTAGAATGGTATCAGATACTGGAAGGATTCTACCCTGCTACCTTGTTCTGATCGTACTTACTCAGATCTACATAGCCAACGTCCACATACATTTGAGTAAATACAGATCCCATCAAAAAGGCAACAACCACGCCAATCATTGCTAATGAGTTCAAAATACCTGCAAAGATCACAGAACAATTTCATTAGCTACCGACAATACAGAATTCTTATGAAATGTGTTTTCTAGAGTAACATCAATACATGACATTTCTCCAAACAACTTTTCTGGGTATACTACTACTATTAATAATGGCATTGCAATTTCAAAGGTAGAAACAGGGAAAATAATCACTCAATTTAATATTTTCTGTGAATTACCTAAATAAACAGAGGATTGTCCTTCTTTAGCAAAGTCATCAAGGTAAGAAATTCCCAGGGGCCCTATAGGGGTCTCCCCTATTCCACGAAGCATGTTACCCATTAGCACATAGATCCACATGTAGGACTCGGATTGCTTCTCACAACCTAGGGAGACAAGCGATCATTTTATTCGAAATGGGAACTTCAGATAGTTTCTTAGTCCTGTTTTCTTTTTTTTTTTAATTTTCACCAAAGGATTTATATTTACTTTGCAGTTCAAAAATAGAGAAAAACATGAAAAGCAACAAAAAAATTAAAATGTAGTTTTTTCTTCCATTATTTAAAGAACCATTAATTTTGCCATAAAGCTTTTTGTTTAAAAAAAAGTGTTAAATTACAGGAAATGTACATTCCCTTTTAGTTATATGTAAGAGGATATAAAATCAAGCATATAAGCACTTCATTTTATTAATTTTTTTAAAAAGCAAAGTGAAAATTATCTGAAATCCCACTAACAAAAAAATTAATTTCTAATGCTTGTTCCATATCTCTCAGATTTTTGTTGCCCATAAAAATCCATGACATTCAATTTGAATATTATACATTAAATATCCAGTTCCTATTAAAATCTGTTTTTATGTTTAATACTGCATTCTAACAAGCTTGCAGTACTGTTTTCCTTGTGTTGAGTTTTACATCAGGATTTTAACAAGGGCATAGTACTGGGCTGAAAAAGGGTTTCATAATCTAATTAATTTTATATTTTTAAATAGCAAAATATTTTCAATTTTTTATTCTGATGAACTGAGATGGCTTTGTATAATTGTAAATAAATATGCATGAACTTTCTTGATTGTATCTTTGAGATTAGCGTATGGCAATAGAATGATTGAGATAATTAAGCATAAATATTTTTGTTGTTTAATATGTACAAAAAATTAACTTCCAGAAAAATTTAGATATTTATCACACCCCCAAATGCAAAAATTGTAAAATACTTTTTCTTCTTTTATCTTTTTCTCTTTTCCTTTATTTCTTTACTCTTAATCTTATCTACTGGATGGCACCATCTTCAATGTTGTAATTTGTAATTATAATTCATTATTATTTTATTTTTAGAAGGAAGGAATCATATCCAGGGTCACAGTTTTTTAACTGATTTTTAAAAATTAATTTTATTGGTGCATTTAAGGTATACAATGCAATTATAATTTATGATCTGTGTTATAAGTCAAGAAATATTACTGTAGCATAATAACTTACATTTTTTCATAGGAAGCAAGCCTTCATACATACTTAGGTCAGTCCCTGCTGCTTTATTTTAAATGCATATATTCTTTACCAATTTTCTACTGAAATCTCCCTCTTTCTTATTTACTTCTGAAAGTTCTTTATACATAATATATGTTAACACTATGATTTTAACTGTAGGTAAAGGTAAAATGTTTTCCTTTTTGTTTCCTTTTTTTCTAAGAAGTATCACAATTATCTTTATAGATGTCACTGAATTAATTAATTGCAGCCTACTTTCATCTCTATCACTTCTTACCTTTTTCCACTATCTCAGGTGATGGCATAGTGAGTGATACAGTCTGATTAATTGAACAAGTTGATATTGAATTCTCTGTTGTGTTAACGTGGGTTTCTATAGAATACCTGTAACTGTAAGAATATCATTAGATTTAAATTTTTCCTTGTTTACAAAATATTTTCATTTTCCCAGAAACACAGAGGACTTTTTTCCTTTATGTGTACCTCTCTGTTCTCCAAATTACTACACTCCTCTCTACCAAGTCTCCAGCCTGTGTTTTAGGACAGATGATGAATGAAAATGAAATGAGAGTTTCACCTAAGGAAGATGCCCTGGTAGGGTGCCTTGCCTTGCAGTTGTCCTAGGACTGCTTCAATTCTGGATCCTGTATGAAATATTCTGGTCTCATCACTTTATTCCCTAAGCTGTTAACTCTATCTATTTGTTCCTTCTGAATTATACTCAAAGACGGTCACTATTTAACATTAAGATAAATTATAATTAGATTTAATAAATGTTAGAGCTGTATTCTCCAAACAGATCTATAATGCATGCCGGTTCATTTATATCTTCCACCAACATCTTGATTTTCTTTTCTAAATGGACACACACACACACACACACACACACACACACACACACACGCACTGCAATATCTAAGTCTTCAAAACTGAGGTAAAGGAATTCTAATCCATTTCAATTTAATAAAGGAGAATTTAATCAATAAGATCAACTGAAATGGAGTTGGAAGAGGTAGAAATGCTAAAATCCAAGAACACTGATGTAGCTTCAGTGGCAGTCTACCATTTACCAGGCATTAGATTCCTCTTCAAAAAACCTGACCTAATGGCCAGGGATATAGCTCGGTGGTGCTGCACCTGCCTGGCAAGCATAAGATCCTGAGTTTGATCCCAGTACCAGAAAGAGAAAAAAAAACTGAAAGAAAATACATAGTTTTGTAAGGAATTTCACACTAAGATAAATATACATGACAAAATATGAAAGCCAGTATATGTATGTGTGTGTAAAGGCACAAGATTTCGTGAGGAGGGTGACATGTGAGGTGATCCTTAGTGATAGATGGGATTTAATAGGTGGTCTAGAGTGAGAAAGGAATATATTCAGGGGTATGACATTTGGCTCACATAAAGCCTTCGAATATGCTTCTCAAATTGTGGGAGCATTGGAAGATGAAGCTAGGAGGATAATTGGGAACCAAATTAATGAGCATGCATGTGCAAATGAGCTTAGACGCTAGTAAGCAAAGAGGGCTTTCAATATTTTTCATGGTAATAAAAGTACGAGATGCATTTTCCATTCCAACCACAATATAAAAAGTACGAGATGCATTTTCCATTCCAACCACAATATATGAACAAATTCACAAATTATATATATATACATATATATATATGTATATATATAATATATACTATCAAAAGGAAAGTTTCACGGAACAACATTTATCCCTATTTGCATTGTATATTATTTTCTTATATCATATACAAAAATTGTTGGTCTCAGTCATCTGAATTGATTTGTTAGTCCATTAATGAAAGGTGTAGGGCATGAAGTTTGAAAATTGCTTTAGGAAATTGGGAGACTTAAGCCGGAGTAAAATAATTCTATATGCATTTTTAAGTATATACTCTCGTGTCGGGCATGAATTAGAATAGAATGAAACTGGAGGAGAAAAATTCAGACCAAAGATGACTGGTCTCAACTAGTATAAGGACAGTAGAGACGACAGACTCTAACCGCTAGGGGGAAGAATAAGCAAGATTTTGGGGATTACCAGTTTTCTGCTGTAATGAAAGGAGAGTCCAGGATGTAGCCCTTGACTTCTGTCTCAGTTCCTTTGTGTTTAAAGGAACCATTCGTTTAAAAAAAAGTGAATACGAATTCAATCAGAAGAATTTGTCTGGAAAATGATTGTGGGGTGTTATGTTGGAGATAAACAAAAGGAAATGGAAGAAGATACAGATCCTGAATGTTGGAAAAATTCCTGAATGTTAGAAAAAGCATATCCCCCACAGAAATCATGTAAAACAAGGAAAAGATTAATGAGGGATTATGGTACCAGCCACACAAGGAAAAGATGGGCATTCTGAAGAGGCCACAAAGATGGAAATAAATCAAGAGAGTGTATTATGCTAAAAATTAGAAGAAAGAAAGAAGAAATAAGGGTCAAATATTGGAAAAGAAAATGGAGTCAGTATGATAGGCACAACACAAGATTATAGAATTTGGCATTATCAATATATCTTTGCACCTATTTTCTACTGATGATGAATATTAATTTTTAAGTAAATTTTATTATAACTATAATCATTAATATCATTTAGTATCTGATACATATTACAAATTCTCCAACTCCTTCAAAGATGATATTTGTTTTTGCTCAAATTATACAAATCACCAACATTCCACATATCACCACACTGTTTTATTATACCTAAGTATATACTGTATTGTAGAAAATACGCATTGTGTATATGTGTGGGGGGTATGTTTTTACATATATGTGTGCACTATTAAATGAGAAACATGGGCATGAATGGGGTAGGATTGTGCACATTTGGCATATTGATAGTTTCTCTGACAACCTTATGATTTCTTTAAATTACGTGCTTGACTTAATTCATAGTCATTCGTTTGGGAAGAATATTACATATCTATTGGTGTTAAATTCCATCAGTATGCTTATAAAAATATAATAAAGATAAGTATGGGATATAATAAAATAGAAACAGAAAAAATCTGATCTTAAAAATGTGAATTTTTTTAGGTGCTTTTGGATTTCAAATATGAGTATATTTTTTTCTGTGGGAAGTCTTGTTAGAAAATGTAAGTGGTACAATCAACAAGTATATGATATTTATCAATTAATTAAACCAAGGAGTTTATAAATTATAAAATCTTGAGGACAGTTTCTCAACTATAATATGTAACTTTGTTTTATTTATAATTACATTATTTCAAAAATATAGAAAATGAGAAAAAACATAATATTTGAAGATCATATCAAACTAATGTATTTCAATTAGTCTGTGTTACATAAATTCTTTTTATTTCATATCCTTTTTTTGCTGTCATATACATGTATATTTGAAATTTTTATGTAGTATCTTCATTTCTTGTTATCATTTATCTTTGCAATCTTTAATAAAAAGAAGATTATAGAATTTGGCAATAAATGCTTCTTGTTTCTTACAAAATGACTCACTGTTTCTCAATATTTGTTGCTCTTTCCTCTAACAGTAACTGAAGTTGAGATTTCTAGGTGGGAAGATGGCAGACCAAAATGTCTGTCTGCAGATGAAATGTAACCAGTTTGTGGACCTGGTCACATTGGTGTCCACCTTAGACTTCTGAAATATCTCTGAGGCCTCAACTCGTGTGTGCTCCCGGCTGCAGCAGCTCCCCGCTCTTGGCTTCATGTATCCTGCTGGCTGGAAGGAGCCCTGACAAATCGTGGGCCACAAGGAAGACCGAGCGCCACAGAACAAGATGCTGAAACCAAGCAGCATCATGCCATCCTCAAATTATTATTCCCGTTAACTTTTACGTGAAAAATAACCTTCTCTCTTAGGTGGGCCATTTCTATTTGAGTTTCCTCTCCTGAGCGCCCTACTCTAATCACAATGACACAGCGACCTTGGGAAGAGCTGCCTCAGTGGAACGGTGGTGGGAAAACCCACACTGCACAGGGTCAGGTGGTGGACTCTCATTGAATGTGATTTAAATCTTAGCTACAAAAACATGAACTGTATTTGTTATGCCAAAACATCAAAAGGAGCGAATTCATTTCCTGTGAAACTACATCTTATTTATTAGTATGCATATTGAAATTATGAATGCCATGATGCATAAAGGAGTAAGCTAATTATTACATGCAAAAATATATGCATTTCTATACACAGTGAGTACTCTCAAAATGTGGAACCACGTATTTAGGAGGAGAAAAAGAAATTGTATCACTAATTTATAAGAAACAACCATCCGCTGTCTGCCTCGCAAGTGCAAGGACCCAAGTTGCATCTCCAGTACCAAAGAAAAAAACAAAAAAAAAGTAACAACCATTAACAGTGCAGAGCCATTCAACACTTACTATCCCATGAAGAAATGTGGTAAAGCAGTCAGAATACTTCCAGCGCCCATAATGACACAACCTATTCCAATTATCTTCGGTCTGTGTAGTTTGGATCCAAAGTAACTTACAAATACAATCACAAGCAAATTTCCTAGAAGGCAAACAAAATTGTATTGGTATGATCCTTTTTTTTTTTTTTTTTTTTTTTATGAATGCTAATAGAACACAAGATCTAATAATACCTTTCCTCAAAGACTAGATAATCTAGTGGAGATGGTGAAACTCCAAATAAAATAAAACAGTTATTAAAACACTGTATGGTATGAAGAATAACTAGAATAGTTTTTGTCTTTGAACAAACAGGATAAAGTACCACATAGGTTTTGAGAATTTCTCTTTTGTTTTACAATAGGAATTAGATACTAACAAAAACACTTGAATCATTTGACAATATTAGAGAAGCAAAACTCGAGTGAGGAATTTGGAGATGCTAGACAGTATTAAGATGGGAAAAAGATGGAGAAAAATCTTCCTGACTCCAGGGAAAGGTGTACATGAATGCAAGTAGCCATTTGTTTCTAGCCTTCTTTGAATTTCTATTATGCATCTGCTGTGGCAATTGGAGCCAGAATCAATAAAAGAAGAGATTAAGTCATGGTACCTGTTCTTGGGGCATTTTATATGCCAGTGATAAAAACAGACAGATGGACAGAATTACTATTAGTCCGCAGGAAGAGAGAACTTTTAAAAAAAGTTACAGCCTTCAAGAAAGCTTCTGGGAGGAAAGGCCACTTGAGATTTAATGGTAAGTATAAATTATTTAGGTTAAAAAAGGAAAATGAGCATCGCAAGTGGAGAGAGTCACAAAAATTCTGCTCCATCGAGAGCTACAGGTGTAACAATGAGTGGACAGCAACTAAGAATTACTGAAAATTTGATGGAAAAAAATGACCAAAAAGCACTAAAATGATCTGGCAGATAATCAAGCACGTGAGTTAACAAACAAGGATTAAACCAGAAAAAGAAGAAACTTTGAAAAACTCTAGTTAAAGTCTCTAGAGCTATGAGAACAGGTTGCCTCTATAAAATAAGAACCATCAGACTAAAAATACTAACAAAATAAACTACTGCTGTGAATTTTTTAAATTACAGAAAAATGTGACAGAACTTTATTTGAGAAAACAGCAGACAGTAGCAGAAAAGATTGCTGGAGCATTAAAAGAAGGTGAACTTTAGAAACAAAAAATGTTAAATATACAGAAAATTTATCTCTCATATGTCTAGAAGAAAAGGAATTTTAAAAAGAAACAAAATAAATTTCCTAACTCAACAAAGTCTTAAACAATCAGATAAAAAAATCTTTCATTTCCAGGAGAAATATAGTAAAAAGAAAATCATGGATATATGGTGGTAAAATTTCCGGAACAGAGAGGAGATACACATCTGGGCAGGAAAATTTATACTGGTAATGATTTCTCACATACAACTTTGAATGTCATGAATGTCTTAAGTGTCCTAATAAAAATGTTTTGAATTTTTAATGCCATATCCAAACTAATACTTGACTATGATGGTAAAATAAACACATTTCCAAAGGCAGGGCATCAGAGCGTGTACCACGGTTGTAGTTTTTTCTGTAAATAATTACCACTTGAAAATATACTCCAGAAAAACCAAAGAAGAGGCTTGAAGCTATACAAGCCATGAATCAGAAGCAAGCAAAGGAGACTCTAATGTTCTTCAAGTAATCGCTGTTAAACAGATGCAAAACTTGGCAAAAATATTAGAATTCATTTCTGGGTAAACAAGAGACATAGAGTGAATTAAGCTTTAACTCTCATAAAACAAAAGGCAGGCCTTTTGGAGTTGGGAAGAGAATTAAAGGGAGAGGATAACCCAGAAAACGGGGAAAGAGATTGAAAATGGTCGTTATGTTTTAAGTATGCACTAATTTTCCAAAATGAACATCACTATTGTAATACATGTGCTGCAAACACACACTAAAAAATAATTTTATAAAGCTAACAACAGTCTCATTTTAAAATTCGATATGCTTTTCTTAAGTCTTCTACATGGAAAAATAAAATATATGTAGGGTGTAATATCTTCTGAATCACAAAACTTCAGAATTAATAAGAAAAATAGAGATATATTTTCCTTTATACAATTACTTTTAAAATAGTACAGTATGCTGTAAATGATGTTTGCTAGATGGCAAACTTACAGAAAATATTTGAAACCTGTATGACACATATAATTTCCGGGCTTCTCCAAATAATTAAAAAGTGCAATGAAGAAAAAACTTTGCAGAGATGACGAATTATTGTGATGATTAATCTTGATTGACAACTTGACTGCACTGGGAGGTGGAAATTAGTATAGCACACTTCTGGGGGTGGCTGTAGGCGTTATCAGAGATGACAGGCATGTAGGATACTAAACCGAACGGGGAGACTCAGCCTGATTGAATGCAGCATTATCCAATAGGGTTGGGGTCTGTGTGGAACCAGACCAGGAGGAGGACACTTGCTAGCATGGGCTCTCTGGTTTTTTCTTCACTCTGTGGTCCCTGGCTGCCATGAGGTGAGCATCTTTCCTCCACCAGACACTCCTGCCATGATATCTCTGGCTTATTACAGGCCTAAAACCAGTGGAGCTGGCTCATCATGAACTGAACTCTCCCAACCACAAGCCAAAATAGAACTTTGCTCAATCAGCTGGCTTTTGCACGTATGTGGTTATAGTGACATAAGACAGCTAATGCAGTGCAAACTCATGAAATAAAAAAAGTGTTTAATAAAGGTGTAAGTCATCACTGCTGTGGGAGAAAACATTAAAATTAAAATGAAGACAACAAAGCGATATCTTCAATGTTGTAGGAAAAAAAAAAAAAACCCAAACAGTTACAAATAGTATAAATCTAGCACACTGCTCCAAAACTGCTCCATCCTCCCCAGATCATAGAATCATCTCACAATGTGTTAGTGTGAAAACAATGAGTCTGTGAAGATCGGCGTTCTTCAATATCCTAATTGCTGCCATTTTGAGCCAGGTAATTCTTCCTGGTTGGGGTCCTTCCTGTACACTGAAGGATGCTTAACACTACCCTCGTCCTCTACCTCAGGTACTTGTAGCACACGTCCCAGTTGTGACAAGCTGTCTCTATCGCCAAATTGGCTGGAGGCACAAAGGTGCCCTAGCTGAGAACTAGAGTTAGAGAATATGCAAACAGCATTACCTCTGCAAGGTGATTATTAAAATACAAGCAAACGTTACCAATCTCAAAACCTCCATCAATGAAACCAGCAACAGAAGAGGATATGTCAAATCTCCTTTCAATCTGAGTAATGGCAGTTTTCATATTGACTCCACCTATTGTCTTACAGATATAGCTGAATGACAGAGCTGCCAAGAACATCTAAGAAAAAGCAGAAGGAGAAGGGGGAAAAAAAAATCAAAGGACTTTATAATGCTTAAAGGCATATAGAATTAAAACAATTTTTCCAAAATTTTATTTATCATAAGAAGTATATTTATCATTCTCCTATAGCAATTGGTACTTCTCAGCCATTTTAACATAACTTCAAGGTACAGATAAAGCATTTCCTAACTTGGTTATATCAGATTATTGGAGCAATACATGTAAGGGTTTATTGTAAACTAATGTCACTAACTGATTTATAAAAGCCCAATGTTCTCAATTGGACATGATGGAAAGTCTGTATCTTCTGTTGGATAGCTCAGGCCAGCTTGAAGGGAGCGGTGGGACATTCTCAAAGGCAGTGTTTCCAGAAGTCCAGCTGAAAAAGAGAAATAAGTGCTGTCCATAAAAGCCCTGATGGTTGACATCAAAAAGGAGGGAATTTCAGAAATCATCAGCAAATCTTATGAATGCAGACACAAGAATAACCAGAGTCCTCTGCTAACTGAAGCTTTCAAAAAGTTCAGAGAAAGATTTTATACTGTCCATGGCTTTAATCTTCAAAGAACTGTTAGCTTGAGACACAACAGATACAGGCAGGGTCAAAATTCTCACAATAAAATCCTAAATTGATTCAACAAACAATGAAGAGATAATGGATTCAAACTCAACAAGCATAGTAGGATCTTTCCAAAGAGTTAGGATTCTAAGCGGGTATGAAATGAGTCGGTTACTCCAATGTCATGTTTTCTTGTGTTGCCACTGTGCTACCTACTAACCCTGTTCTTAATGCAAGGCTTAAATTCAGAGAAAGAGTAATATAATGACTTTTGCAGAGCTTAACAAAATGGCAAAGAAGAAAGCTGAAATCTTCCATGATAAGCCTTAGGACACCAGTAGCATGAGGATAGAGAACTTTTAATAGAGAGGTTTCAAAACAAAGGAACAAAGGTTCAGCATCATCTGATAGATTTTTAAGATCTACTGGCAGAAAGAGAAGACTGGCATTGAACCAAGAGGTAAAGTCTGTGTTTATCTGCTATCATGGTAGGTCAGTTATTTATTATGAGGAAAGTTCTGGATTTACAGAGGACATCTCCAGGTTTCCACTCTGTCACATGTGTGGCTTTGATGGAATTATCTGATTGATAATCTTATTGACTTACTCAGCAAACATTTGTTGGATAGCTGCAATATGATGATTACTCTGCTAAGTTATGGAGTCAAAACGGGTATAGAGGAACAAGGAAAGTAAAAGCAAGGACAAAATAAATGCTGCAAAAGAATTAATAATTGTGTGGATGCAGTAAAAAGACAGATAGTGATATTGTCACAGTACTTGCTCAGTACAAGTTTATTATGTTAAGAAGAATATAGAAAAAAGCAATTAAGTCTTGTTCACATAGGTTAAAGTATTTATAGATGTGATATTTAAGTTTTTAGAAGATAATAAGTTTATAAATTGAAGGATAAATTAAACATTTAAAATAAACAGTACATGAAAAGCTACTGATAACACAGAGAACCAGTACATTTGAAAAACAGAAAGAATATCTATATAGAAACAGCAGAAAGATAGACATATGAAAACTTAGAAATATCCCAAATATTGGAAGATTAATCTACATTTTAAAATGTGATGTAAAAACACCACATTTTATGGATTAATTCTGACAGACATGATATATATCAGCTTACTCCAAAGAAATCTATTAGAAAGCTGAACTCAGACAATATTTTTTTTAAATGATGAACACAGAAAGAGTGAAAGAAGTTTTCAAGCATACTTGGGAGGCATTTTAAGAGGAAAACCAGCTTTTGTGTTAAAAAGGAAAAATAAAGGTTCCAGTTTTGTTTTTCAGGCTTTATTTTGGGTAACTGGATGTAGGAATACTGATATTTAGGGTGAAAAATACCACAAAAAGAGAATTTGGGGCCCTAAACACAGTGAAATGTTTTTACAAGCCAAATTTGAGATGCCTGAGACATCCCATAGACCCTGCGGACACAACTCAGGCAGATCTGGTGCTCAAGAGAACCATTTGCCTGGAGATAGTTTTGAGATGGGTCACTTTCCAAATTTAAAGTATTTTACTTAAAGAGACAAGCTTCTTCTGTTATAAACTGTTTCCGTAACGTAATCATGGGATGTAATGTAAAATATACTAGAGTTTCAAAGCAGACTTGGATATAATTCTTTAATTATTTACCAGGATTGTGCTCTAAGAAGAGAAAGGAAGACCCTAGAACTCAAAGGCTTCTACTATAAAATAAACTCGTCTTGAACTTTACCTTTGTCCTTGAATTCAATACTCACAGCTTTGAACTTGATCTGCCTCTTAACCTACTATATTACCTGCTCTAATAAAATCCACAGGTATAATTTTTTTTGGCTATCTTCCGTGATCCAGGTCTGCTTCTGGAAATCATTACCTTCCATCTCCTTGCTGGCACCAATGGCAGCTGCACAGAGTTCAGCTACAAAGGCCTCCCAAATAAAATCGCAATCGCTCAGAAGTTCTGCCAGACAGAGCAGCTAAGGACAGGAAACACGCTGACTGGACTTCAGAAGTTTCTTCCATAGGTAAACCCCTGGGGAGTCCTGCAGTACCAAAGGGCAGCTTCTCCCTGTGAGTTTGCAGAAGCCCTGGCTACAGCGTGTTTGGCAGGGTGAGGGTGACAGGTGGCTTCCTGGCGACTGCTATTCTCCACCCTCATCTTTCCACTCCTCTCCTTCTGAGCACCTGGTTCTCATCCTGAGAGGGACTCTCCTTCAGACCTTCCCATGTGCTCATCACAAGAAAGAGTAACCATCACATCCAGGGAAACGTGAACTCAGGACAGAAGAGCAAGGTTTTGAGGAAGAGGAATTCCTCAGAGAGAGAGAGAGAGAGAGAGAGAGAGAGAGCAATCCCTCCAGGGGCAGGTGTTTTAGAAGACACTCACCAGCTGCAAAAGAGATAATGGGAAAAGTCTAACATTTAAAATAGTTACAGAGGGCTGGGGATTTACCTCAGCGGTTTGGTGGCCTGCCTTGCAAGCACAAAGACCGGAGTTCAATCCCCGGTACCAAAAAAAAAAAAAA